AGAGCGAAACTCTGTCTCAAAAAAAAAAAAAAAAAAAAAGTTGGTTACTTGTTGAAGCTGGGGGCTCGTTATACTATTATTGTATATACGTAAGATTTTCCATAGTAGGTTAAAAAAATGAATTAATTTAGGAGAGAGCACCTATATAGTCCAGATCAGCACTGTCCAAAAGAATTTTCTATAATGATGGAAATGTTCTATATCAGCACTGTTCAATGCTGTACCCACTTGCCATGAGGCTTTTGAGAACTTGAAATATATCAAACGCAATAAGGAAGTGAATTTTTCATTTTATTATCATTTAAAAAATATTTTAGAGCCGGGCGCGGTGGTTCAAGCCTGCAATCCCAGCACTTTGGGAGGCCGAGGCGGGTGGATCACGAGGTCAAGAGATCGAGACCATCCTGGTCAACATGGTGAAACCCCGTCTCTACTAAAAATACTAAAAATTAGCTGGGCATGGTGGCGCGTGCCTGTAATCCCAGCTACTCAGGAGGCTGAGGCAGGAGAATTGCCTGAACCCGGGAGGCGGAGGTTGCGGTGAGCCGAGATCGCGCCATTGCACTCCAGCCTGGGTAACAAGAGCGAAACTCCGTCTCAAAAAAAAAAAAAAAAAAAAAAAAAAAAAAAAAAAAAATATATATATATATATATATATATATATATATATATATATATATATTTTTTAGAGATAGAATCTCACCCCGTTGCCTAGGCTGGAGTGTAGTGGTGTGACCTTGGATTGCTGTAGACTCTGCCTCCTGAGTTCAAACAATTCTCCTATCTCAACCACCTAAGTAGCTGGGATTACAGGCATGTGGCACCACATCCAGCTAATTTTTGTATTTTTTGTAGAGATGGCATTTCACCATGTTGGCCAGACTGGTCTTGAACTCCTGACCTCAAGTGATCTGCCTGCCTCGGGCCTCCCAAAGAGCTGGGATTACAGATGTGAGCCACCACACCGAGCTGAATTTTTCTCATTTTAAAATGTATGGCTAGTGGCTACCATTTACACTGTGCAATTCTAGATCCTGGAAGACAGACTTGCCACTTTACTACCAGAATTTGAAGTTAATAAGTAAGCTCATGAATCAAGTCAGCCTGCCAAGTCCCTTTCCCCTTTTTGCTAATAGCAATATCCAGCTCCCAGTTCCCAATCCCATGCCAAGCCCTTTATTACCATAAATTGGGCATGAGATCCAGGATATAGTACAACTTCTTCCTGGCCATAGTGATTAGTCCAGGAAGAAAATAAGCAGAGCTTGGATCATCATAACCCTTGCTTGGAATTTTCTTTTTTTTTTTTTTTTTTGAGACAGAGTTTCGCTCGTTACCCAGGCTGGAGTGCAATGGCGCGATCTGGGCTCACCGCAACCTCCGCCTCCTGGGTTCAGGCAATTCTCCTGCCTCAGCCTCTTGAGTAGCTGGGATTACAGGCACACGCCACCATGCCCAGCTATTTTTTTTTTTATTTTTAGTAGAGACGGGGTTTCACCATGTTGACCAGGATGGTCTCGATCTCTTGGCCTCGTGATCCACCCGCCTCGGCCTCCCAAAGTGCTGGGATTACAGGCTTGAGCCACCGCGCCCGGCCTTTTTTTTTTTTTTTTTTTTTTAAGACAAGGTTTCACCATGTTGGTTAGGCTGGTCTTGAACTCCCAACCTCCGGTGATCCGCCTGCCTTGGCCTCCAAAGTGCTTGGATTACAGGCGTGAGCCACTGGGCCTGGCCAGAATTTTCTATATTAGGAAGTAAAGCAGCTTCTTCAATTTGGATTTGTAAGGAGGGAACCCTAGAACTGCTGGCCATCATATTCCTTTGCCATGCTGAGAATAAAACCAAAATTAGGATAAAAGACAGAGACAGAGTCTTGCTTCTCAAGTACTTAGATCCAGTCAACCCTAAAGTCAGCTCAATCCCTTCTTTCCCATGTTTCGGTTTGGTAAGCCAATAAATTCCTTCTTTGTTTATGCTATTAATAGTTTTGAGTTGTTATATCGCTTGCAACCTAAAATAGTCTTAACACAAAGCCCCACTCAGCCTGGGCAACACAGTGAAATAGCTTCTTTAGCTAGGCATGCCAGTAGTTCCAGCTACTCAGAGGCTGAGGTAGGAGGATCGTTTGAGCCCAGGAGGTCGAGGCAGTGAGCTGTGATTATGCCACTGTACTGGTGGCATAATCACCTGGTGATTATGGGTGAGAGTGAGCAGTTCACTACAGCCTTGACTTCCCAGACTCAAGTGATTCTCCCGCCTCACCCTCCTGAGTACCTGGGACCACAAGTGGCCACCATTGTGACTGGCTCCTTTTTTTTTTTTTTTAATAAAGGTGGGGTTTTACCATGATGGCCAGGCTGGTCTTGAACTCCTGACCTCAGGTGCTCCACCCACCTCAGACTCCCAAAGTGCTAGGCGTGAGCCACCGCGCCCAGCCGCCTGGCTCTTTTTTTTTTTTTTTTTTTTTTTTTGAGACGGAGTTTCGCTCTTGTCACCCAGTCTGGAGTGCAATGGTGCGATCTCGGCTCACCGCAACCTCCGCCTCCTGGGTTCAGGCAATTCTCCTGCCTCAGCCTCCTGAGTAGCTGGGATTACAGGCACGGGCCACCATGCCCCGCTAATTTTTTGTATTTTTAGTAGAGACGGGGTTTCACCATGTTGATCAGGATGGTCTCGATCTCTTGACCTCGTGATCCACCCGCCTCGGCCTCCCAAAGTGCTGGGATTACAGGCTTGAGCCACCGTGCCCGGCCCCGCCTGGCTCTTTTTTAACAGAGATGGGGTCTTGTCATCTTGCCCAGGCTGGTCTCCAGCTCCTGGTTCAAGCAATCCTCCCGCCTCAGTCTCCCAAGTAGCTGGGACTGTAGACATGCCACCATATCTGGTTAATATTTTTGTATTTTTAGTAGAGACAGGGTTTCACGATGTTGGTCAGATCTTGAACTCCTGACCTTAATCAATCCACCCACCTTGGCTTCGCAAAATGCTGGGATTACAGGTGTGAGCCACTGCTCCTGGCCTTGATTTTTAGTAGAGATGGGGGTTTTACTATGGTTGCCCAGACTGGTCTCCAACTCCTGGGCTCAAGTGATCCTCCTGCCTACCCCTCCCAAAATTCTGGGATTACAGGCATGGGCCACCGTGTCCAGCCCTGCTTTTTTAAATAACAAAAGATTCACCCAGCTATGAGCTGAAATAAAAAAGTTTTCAGCTTGATTAAGCAGCAAGAATTACCGTATTATTAGTAATGGGGCATAACATTCTGGGAGGAAAAAAAGTCATAAATCAATCAGATTCAAGCATCAACCTGTTTAATTGTTCATACTTTATTCTTGTATCAGTAGGTTAAGAAAGTAAACTTTTCCCAAGCCCTGATTTATAGATCATGTTTATAAGCTGCACACAAAAGTCTGTTTCATAAACAATAACATTCAATGATCTACTTAAATGCGATCGTAATCCTTACTTTAAGCTAAGGGCAATAATTTAATACAATAGACTAAATACACACAAAACCTGTATATCCAGAACTACAAACATGGTTTCCATAGCCACATATGGTTCAGTCACAAAGGACACATTTCCACAGTGAACAAGTACTTACAAATATGTAAATAAAACGCTAACCTAAATGCTTATCCTGCCATCAGCTTTTTAAGCAATGCCATTACTGAAAGCATTTATTTTTAGAAGCTTGAATCTGACCTGGGAAAACAAGTTCTCCTAAAACTTAATAGGATGTTTAAGTCCGAAAAGATTTTAACTCAAAAAGCCTTCCAACACAGCATTATTTACGTGAAACTTAGTTTCTTAAATAAAAATAATGTTATCTGAAGAAAATTAAAACAAATTATCTTTTAAGAGAGACAAACATTCTTACCAAAAACTGTATTTTCTCTATCATCTCTTTAAAAGAAATGCAAACCAGTTCATTATCTGTATTTATTTGTTTGAGACAGTCATTCATGCTCTATTGCCCAGGCTGAAGTGCAGTGACGCCATCTCAGCTTGCTGCAATCTCCACCTCCTGGGTTCAAGCAATTTTGCCTCAGCCTTCCAAGTGGCTGGGATTACACATGCATGCCACCATGTCTGGCTAATTTTTGACTTTTTAGTAGAGGCGCAGTTTGGCTATATTGGCTAGGCTGGTCTAGAACTCCTGGCTTCAAGTGATCCACCTGCCTCGGGCTCCCAAAGTGCTGGGATTACAGGTGTGAGCCACCATGGCTGGCCCAGTTCATTATCATTAATAATTATTATACTTAATAATGTTTAATAATAAACTAGACAGTAAACTAATTGTTGTCTAAAAACTTCCAAATACTTAAAGTACATGTCTGAGCTGTCAAGTCAAAAATGCCATTTAGATTTCACATATTAAACAGCTACAGTATAGCTTACAAGGGCATAAACATACCTAACACATAAATACTGCTTTTTCCTTTAGATAGTCAAAAGTCAGAAGGAACTGCATGGTTTGCAAGGTACTGTGACTTATGAGTGGTCATTAAAACCCAGTAAGTAGGCCGGGTGCGGTGGCTCACGCCTATAATCCCAGCACTTTGGGAGGCCAAGGCGTGTGGATCACGAGGTCAAAGAGATTGAGACCATTTTCAACATGTCTCTACTAAAAATACAAAAATTAGCTGGGCATGGTGGCGCGCGCCTGTAGTCCCACCTACTTGGGAGGCTGACGCAGGAGAATTGCTTAAACCCAGGAGGCGGAGGTTGCGGTGAGCCGAGATCGTGCCACTGCACTCCAGCCTGGGAAACAAGAGTGAAACTCCGTCTCAAAAAAAAAAAAAAAAAAAAAAACCCAGTAAGTAATTCAAGTATGGTAATACAAAGGCAGGTAATTAAACGCACCAATATCACTCTAAAATCAAAGGCATAAAAATAAAGGCTGAGGCTGGGCTCAGTGGCTCACGCCTGTAATCCCAGCACTTTGGGAGGCTGAGGTGGGTGGATCATCTGAGGTCAGGAGTTCGAGACCAGCCTGTCCAACATGGTGAAACCCGTCTCTAAAAAATAAAAATAAATAAATAAAGGCTGAAAACTTTGTGTTTCTCCATCTTTCACTTCCATAGCTAGATATCAGAACCTTACTTTAGAAGATATAGTTATTACGCATGATATCCCCAGATGGTAATTTTCAGAAACTACAAAAAGTGTCAAGATCCATAGTTTGCTTCATCAAATGCTTTTCTAGCTCGTTTCAATTCTTCATTCATAGTAAGCAAGTCTTTAACCCTGGCAAACTTCCTTGGGTCCTTTCGAATCAAGAAGACGATATCTTCAACTTGTACTCGACCTTGTCTTCCAATGGACATTGCCTTGTGAGTCTATTACAAAGAAACATAATTACATTTCATTTTTAAAAATCTAACATTTTACTGTTTTAATTTGCATTTATTAATTGCAAGGTTGAAGATTTTATCTTAATATTATTATGGCTATTAATTTGTGAATTATCTTTCTACTCATGTCCTTTGTCCATTTTCTTTTCTTTCTTTTTTTTTTTTTTGAGACAGAGTCTCGCTCTGTGGCTAGGCGCCAGGCTGGAGTGCAGTGGCATGATCGCGGCTCACTGCAACCTCTGCATCCCCAGTTCAAGCAATTTTCTTGCCTCAGCCTCCCAAGTAGCTGGGACTACAGACTGGCACCACCACGCCCAGCTAATTTTTTTTTACATTTTAGTAGAGACAGGGTTTCACTATGTTGGCCAGGATGGTCTTGATCTCTTAACCTCATGATCCACCCGCCTCGGCCTCCCAAAGTGCTAGGATTACAGGTTTGAGCCACCGCACCCGGCCCTTTGTCCATTTTCTACTGGGTTAGCAATGTTCCCCTTTGTACTTCACAGGCACTTTAAAAAAATCCTAAGGACATTAAAACTGTCAAGACATTAAAACTGTAACTTTTGTTCCTTTTTTTGTTTTTTGATATATGTAGATTTTGTCTTAATTTGTATAAAATGATTTTATACTTATGTGTACCCACCCATTTCATTTTTGCTTTGTGTCCTCCTCCATCTTTTTTTTTTTTGAGACGGAGTTTCGCTCTTGTTACCCAGGCTGGAGTGCAATGGCGCGATCTCGGCTCACCGCAACCTCCGCCTCCTGGGTTCAGGCAATTCTCCTGCCTCAGCCTCCTGAGTAGCTGGGATTACAGGCACGCACCACCATGCCCATCTAATTTTTTGTATTTTTAGTAGACACGGGGTTTCACCATGTTGACCAGGATGGTCTCGATCTCTTGACCTTGTGATCCACCCGCCTTGGCCTCCCAAAGTGCTGGGATTACAGGCTTGAGCCACCATGCCCAGCTGTCCTCCTCCATCTTAATACCTAATATATACTGGTGGGTTTTCTAAAAATCAAATCTATCTCATCCCATCATTATATACTCAACTGTGAAAATTCGAAGCTATATCATAACATTATTTCTTTTTTTTATTTTTAAATCTCATTTTGAATTGTACATAACATTATTTCTAATGACTAAAAAATAGAAACTAAATATTTAATAATAAGGTATTGAGTCAGACACAGTGGCTCATGCCTATGATCCCAGCACTTTGGGAGGCTAAGGCGGTAGATCACTTGAACCTAGGAGTTCAAGACCAACCTGGGCAACATAATGAGACCCCGTCTCTACAGGAAATTTAAAAACTAGCAGAGCAGAAAAAACAAAAAGAGAAACAAAAACTAGCAGAGCATGGTGGCATATTTGAGAGGCTGAGGTAGGAGGACCATATGAGTCCAGAAGGTCTCAGGTGCAGTGAGCAATGATGCCACTGCCCTCCAGCCTGGGCAACAGAGTGAGATCCTGTCTCACACACAGACACACACACAAACATCGTATATCTTTAAATACTGGAAAAGGAAGGGGGAAAAAACCAACCTATATTGAATAATGGTATTATGGGCAATGTATTTTTTTTCTTTTTTTTAATTTTAATTTTTTTTTTTTTTTTAATTAAGACAAAGTTTCACTATGTTGGTCAGGCTGGTCTTGATCTCCTGACCTCAGATGATACGCCCGCCTTGGCCTCCAAAGTTCTTGGATTACAGGCATGAGCCATCACGCCCGGCCACAGGTAATATTTTTATTTTACTCAAGGATTTTATAATTATGTCCTTATAAAAAATGGAAGAAGGGGGAATAGAATATATATGTATAACCCCTATCCTTAATGATAAATAGTAAACAGTAACTTCTGCAACAAGCACTCAAATGGATAGCTTATTTCAAAGGGATGCCATAAACTCTAATCTTTTTTTTTTTTTTTTTTTTTTTTTTTGAGACGGAGTTTCGCTCTTGTTACCCAGGCTGGAGTGCAATGGCACGATCTCGGCTCATCGCAACCTCTGCCTCCTGGGTTCAGGCAATTCTCCTGCCTCAGCCTCCTGAGTAGCTGGGATTACAGGCACGCACCACCATGCCCAGCTAATTTTTTGTATTTTTAGTAGACACGGGGTTTCACCATGTTGACCAGGATGGTCTCGATCTCTTGACCTCGTGATCCACCCGCCTCGGCCTCCCAAAGTGCTGGGATTACAGGCGTGAGCCACTGCGCCCGGCAACTCTAATCTTATCTAAAGTTTAATATTTCTTTTTCCTTCTTTCTTTTCTTTTCTTTTTTTTTTTTGAGACAGAGTTTTGTTCTTGTTGCCCAGGCTAGAATGCAATGGCATAATCTAGGTTCACTGCAACCTCCACCTCCTGGGTTCAAGTGATTCTCCTGCCTCAGCCTCCCGAGTAGATGGGATTACAGGCATGCACCACCACACCCAGCTAATTTTGCATTTTTTAGCAGAGATAAGGTTTCTCCATGTTGTTCAGGCATCTCATGTGATCCACCCACCTCAGCCTCCCTAAGTGCTGGGATTATAGGTGTGAGCCACCATGCCTGGCTAAGTTTAGTATTTCAAATCCATTCTTCAATTACTAAGAATTGTGAAAGAATCTTACCATTTCAATAAAATAAAAACAAAAACAAAAATATAAACAAACAACAAAAAAAGAATCTTACCATTTCAGTGATAAACTCTATGACAAGATCTTCAAGAATATCCACTGACTCAGTATAAGGATTCTGGTCATCCCCAAAGCCATACATCATACATCGTACTGTAAAAGAACAATCACTTTTGTTCACTTTTACAGATTTAACAATTTGATACTTTTTAAAAATTAACTAGAAATCAACCAAGTTATAGATAATATTGGTATAAAAACATATTTACATTGTATTTGTTGTCTCCAAGTATGGATTCTGGTTTAAAAGGTTTAAGCATAGTATGATGACCAACTGTTCCCAAGTAGCCTCCAACAAACTCTTCCTTCCTCCCAGCTACTGAACTCTAAGGTAAAGTCTTTCCCTAATGTCTATCATCTACTCACCAGTCTCCACCCTCTCCCTCCCCCAACACCTTTAAATAGGAAACTGGCAGGGGGCAGAGAGCAACAGCTTAGCCTCTCCTGGAGGTGCTTTTTGTGTGTAGGCATGGCAGTGGGGCATTGGAAAAAAGGCAGACTCTACTGATATTACAAAGGGGAAAAGACATGAGACAAAGTATCCAAATGCCTTATTTATTTATTTATTTATTTATTTATTGAGACGGAGTGTCGCTCTTGTTACCCAGGCTGGAGTGCAATGGCATGATCTCGGCTCACCACAACCTCCGCCTCCTGGGTTCAGGCAATTCCCCTGCCTCAGCCTCCTGAGTAGCTGGGATTACAGGCACGCGCCACCATGCCCAGCTAATTTTTTGTATTTTTAGTAGAGACGGGGTTTCACCATGTTGATCGGGATGGTCTCGATCTCTTGACCTCGTGATCCACCCGCCTCGGCCTCCCAAAGTGCTGGGATTACAGGCTTGAGCCACCACGCCCGGCCCCAAATGCCTTCTTATTGGAAGAAACAGGGTAATCAAAATGAGAAAGCAGAGGGCTTATTACAAAGAATTTTGATTTTTTTTTTTTTTTTTTTTCCTGAGCTGGAGTCTCGCTTTGTCGCCCAGGCTGGAGTGCAGTGGTGTAATCTAAGCTCACTGTAACCTCCACCTCTCAGGTTCAAGCAATTCTCCTGTCTCAGCCTCCTGATTAGCTAGGATTACAGGCATGGGCCACCACGCCCAGCTAATTTTTTTGTATTTTTAGTATAGACAGAGTTTCACCATGTTGGCCAGGCTGGTCTCGAACTCCTGACCACGTGATTTGCCTGCCTCGGCCTCTCAAAGTGCTGGAATTACAGGCATGAGTCACCGTGCCTGGCCAAATTTTGACATTTCCTAGATCAGAACTACTGCCAGCAAAGCCCTTTCAGGCTTCATCTGAAGAAACCATAGGAAATGCAAAAGGTAAATCTAGGTCAGGCGCAGTGGCCCACACCTGTAATCCTAACACTTTGGGAGGCCCAGGCAAGTAGACTGCATGAGCTCAGGAGTTTGAGACCAGCCTGAGCAACATGGCGAAACCCTGTCTGTACAAAAAAAAAAATCTGGGCATAGGCCAGTATAGTGGCTCACACCTGTAATTCCAGCACTTTGGGAGGCTGAGGCAGATCACTTGAGGCCCGAAGTTTGAGACCAGCCTGGCCAACAAGGTGAAACCCCATCTCTACTAAAAACCAAAAATCAGCTGGGGGTGTTGGCACATGTCTATAATCCCAGCTACGAGGGAGGCTGAGGCATGAGAATCACCTGAACCCAGGAGATGGTGGTTGCAGTGAGCTGAGATCACATCAGTGCACTCCAGCCTTGGCGACAGAGTGAGACTGTGTCTTGAAAAAAAAAAAAAAAAAGAGAGAGAGAAGTCTAATATGGAAAAAAAAATAATTGCCAAAAGATAAAATGTGGCGGGTGCGGTGGCTCACCCCTATAATTAATCCCAGCACTTTGGGAGGCCGAGGTGTGCAGATCACCTGAGGACAGGGGTTCAAGACCAGCCTGGCCAACACAGTGAAACCTTGTCTCTACTAAAAGAACAAAAATTAGCTGGGCATGGTGGGCACCTGTAATCCCAGTTACTCGGGAGGCTGAGGCAGGATTGCTCGAACCTGGGAGGCAGAGGTTGCAGTGAGCCGAGATTGCGCCACTGCACTCCAGCCTGGGAGACAGACACTCCGTCTCAAACAAACAAAACAACACATATCTCTTATTATATGCCAGATCCTGTCTTAAGTCTTTTGCATATATAACTCATTTAATCCTCACAATGATCCTTTGAGGTAGATACTACTAATTGCACCCATTCCATAGATGAGAAAATTAAAGCACGGTGTTAACTGATTTTCCCAAGGTCACAAAACTAGTAGAGATGGAACCTGAATTTGAACACAGCTAATCTGGTTCGGTCTTTCTTTATTCCTACCCACAACAGCATTGAACTTGCTAGTAGTTGTAGTTTAGGGCAGACAGGATCCATATGAATTCTTCCCCTGACCCCCGCCCCTCTCCTAGCTTTTTTGAGACAGTCTTGGCTCTGTCTCCCAGGCTGGAGTGGTGTTGCAGTCACAGCTTGCTACAGCCTCAACCTCCCTGGCTCATGCAAGCAACTGAGACTACAAGCACATGCCACCATGCCCAGGTAATTTGTGGGTTTTTGTTTTTTTTTTTTAAACAGAAGTCTCACTGTGTCACCCAGGCTGGAGAGCAATGGCATCTCAGCTCATTGTAACCTCCACCTCCTGGGTTCAAGAGATTCTCCAGCTTCAGCCTCCAAGCAGCTAGGATTACAGGCATGTGCTACCACACCTAGCTATTTATTTATTTATTTATTAGCAGTCAGTTTGCCATGTTGCCCAGGCTAGTCTTGAACTCCTGGCCTCAAGTGATCTGCCTGCCTTGGCCTCCCAAAGTATCATGCTTACAGGTATGAGCTACCACATCCAGCCATTTAAAATTTTTTTCTAGATATGGGGGTCTCACTACATTGCCCAGGCTGGTTTTGAACTGCTTTCTAAAAATTTATTTATTTATTTATTGAGACAGTCTTGTTCCGTCAACAGGCGTCAGGCTGGAGTGCAGTGGCGCAATCTCAGCTCACTGCAACCTCCACCTCCCAGGTTCAAGCAATTCTCCTGCCTCAGCCTCCTGAGTAGCTGGGACTACAGGCACATGCCACCATGCCCAGCTAATTTTTGTATTTTTAGTAGAGACAGGGTTTCACCATGTTGGCCAGGATAGTCTCGCTTGACCCCATGATCCACCCACCTGGGCCTCCCAAAGTGCTGGGATTACAGGCATGAGCCATTGTACCTGGCAAAAATTTATTTTTGTTTTTTTCGTAGAGACAGTAGAGACGGGGTTTCACTATGTTGCCCAGGGTGGTCTCAAACTCCTGGACTCAAGCAATCCTCCTGTCTTGGCCTCCTAAAGTGCTAGGATTACAGGTGTGAACCACCAGAACCAGCTGAGATCCACATGGATTCTTAACCTATTGTCTATAAACTCAGTCCAGAGACAAGCTTTAAGTCCTTGAGACTACCATGAAATCATATTGAAAAATTTTACACATTATCTGTACATGGGCTTTTTTCTGGGAATAATTATAACTTTTATCAGATTCTCAAAGGGGATGTTAAGAATGTTAAGAAATGCTGTCAAATGCTGGAAGTGTTTTGTATCTTGATCTTAGTAATGTTTATGTGTGTGTGAGAGAGAGTATATGTGCATGTGCATACAGTTGTCCCTTAGTATCCTTGGGAGCTTGGTTCTAGGATTTCCCATGGATACGAAAATCCCAGATATAAAATGGCATAGTGTTTGTATATATAACCTATGCACATCCTATCTGTCTGTCTGTCTATCTGCATTTATTTATTTATTTTTGAGATGGAGTTTCACTCTTGTTGCCCAGGCTGGAGTGCAACAGCACAATCTCGGCTCATGGCAACCTCCGCCTCCCGGGTTCAAGCAATTCTCCTACCTCGGCCTCCCAAGTACCTGGGATTACAGGCACACGCCACTACACCTGGCTAATTTTGTATTTTTAGTAGAGATGAGGTTTCTCCATGTTGGCCAGGCTAGTCTTTAACTCCCAACCTCAGGTGATCCACCCGCCTCGGCCTCCCAAAATGCTGGGATTACATGTGTAAGCCACCATTCCTGGCTATTTATTTATTTATTATTATTATTATTTTTTTTTTTGAGACGGAGTTTCGCTCTTGTTACCCAGGCTGGAGTGCAATGGCGCGATCTCGGCTCACCGCAACCTCCGCCTCCTGGGTTCAAGCAATTCTCCTGCCTCAGCCTCCTGAGTAGCTGGGATTACAGGCACGTGCCACCATGCCCAGCTAATTTTTTGTATCTTTAGTAGAGACGGGGTTTCACCATGTTGACCAGGATGGTCTTGATCTCTCGACCTTGTGATCCACCCACCTCAGCCTCCCAAAGTGCTGGGATTACAGGCTTGAGCCTGTAATCCCAGTCCTATTTATTATTTTTTGAGGTGGAATTGCCTCCTCCGGGTGGAAATGCCCGGTCCTATTTATTATTTTTTGAGGTGGAATTTTGCTCTTGTTGCCCAGGCTGGAGTGCAATGGTGAGACCTCAGCTCACTGTAACCTCTGCCTCTCCGGTTCAAGTGATTTTCATCCTCATCCTAAGCCTCAGTCTCCAGAGTAGCTGGGATTATAGGCATGCACCACCACGCCCAGCTAATTTTGTATTTTTAGTGGAGATGGGGTTTTTCCGTGTTGGTCAGGCTGGTCTCTAACTCCCAACCTCAGGTGATCTGCCCACCCCAGACTCCCAAAATGTTGGGATTATAGGCATGGGCCACTGCACCTGGCCTCTATATTTTAAATCATCTCTAAATCGCTTACAATACCTAATACAATGTAAATGCTATGTAAATAGTTGTTATACTACATTGTTTAGGGAATAATGACAAGGAAAGAAAGTCTGGGCATATTCAATACAGACACAGTTTTTTTCTGAGTATTTTCCATCTGAGTTTGGTTGAATCCACGGATGCAGAACCCACGGACATGGAGGGCCAACTGTATAGTATACATAAAATTCAGCAAGTTGTTCACTTAAGACTTGCACATTTTATTGTTATCTAAGTTGATTTTCATTTTTATTTTTTAAGAGATACGGGGTTTCACCACGTTGGTGAGGCTG